GCAGCATGGCTCTACCATGTAGATTGATTCTTAGACAAAGATAGATGTAGATGTCTTTGGATCATCACAATCATTTACCATCAGATGGACTGTGTGCTCGTTTGCGAACCTTATTCTATGTTTAGCCCTCGAAGTGACCAAGCATCCTTACCTGATTCTTAACAAAAAATAGATGTAGATGTCTATGGGTCACATCATTTAGTTCACCAGTTGTGTGCTCGTTTGCCAACCTTATTTTATAAAAAAATATGTACGATTTTTATTAACCTTTTTACTGGGAAGGTTAAATTAAAGAACCTTAGAACCTTTTACTTAAAGTTCTATTATCCCCAACACGTTAAGGTGGCGCCATTAATGCTACAAGTGTAATCATCCTCTTCCCTTGTCGCATGTTAAGTGCCAGCCTCTCTGCACCGTTGAATGTTACATCGCGTTCGAGTGATAAATATTCAGAACATTGCACATAAATGGGTTTTTTTCTCTCAATTTCATTTGTAATTGGATATCGACTTTACTTGTTGTTTTATACGAAAGACAAGTCTTGAATTGTAATTAGATTCAATATTCATTTTTGTGCAGTTATTTTCATTCATGATTTATTATTTACTAGAAATCCGCCTCGGCTTCTCTTGATTTCTGGATCTCGACAACAATGCCACCTACCGGGTCCAATTGTGAATCTAAACTATTCTCTAATAAACTATTTCTCTAATCACACACAAAATTTTATCAAAATCGTTCCAGACGTTTAGGAGTTTACATTGAATTGAGGAGGTAACATTTTTCAAAAAGTTATGAATAAATAAGTAAATCAATAAATATTTTGTTAGTTATTTTCACGTCAGGTTTTTAGGCGATAAGTAATTTTTGTTGTAACGCAGTGACTGAAATATTTACTTGCGTTAATAGAAATCGTGTTTTGAAGGACACAGCTAAAATTAGTCCAGTTATTGCGTTGAACGTGATCGATAGCATTACTGATGCATTAACTGACGGTACCCCAAGGCCGGTGACTGCCGTCCAGTTTCACTCAATGGAATATAATATGCCGATGGAAACGCTCGATAGTCTGAAAATAGATACCTAAGGTTAAATAGAAAGTCTAGAACTAACTCTTGCAGATCAATACCACTTTTTCTTCCTCAGAGTTCGACTGGATTGTACCACCCTATTACTTATTTTTTTTTATAGAATAATGGTGACAAACGAGCACACAGTCCACCTGATGGTAAGTGGTTGCTGCGGCCCATAGACATCTACATCCATCTTCGATTACGAATCAAAATGCAGATGCGTTGTCACCCGTGTGGAATAAGATGGAATGCCTCTTTTCCAGTAAAAAGGGTCTCTGGTTCTCTACACTCACCATACGAAACACAGCAGCATTAAGCTGCTATTTTACGATGGTGTTCTGTCAAAGCGTGGTTCTTCGAGCCGACCCATTCGTGCTACAACTATACTATTAATATAGCTGCAGCATAGCTCTACCACGTTAAAAATTATTTCTGCCACCAGGAGTAATGCGTACAATACTGGGTTTGGATCTGGAGGGTAAAAAAGTCAGTATAAATACAGGCTCTTATGCATTATATCTTAACCCTCAGAGGCGACAACGCATCTGTAGTTTTCATCATCAGCTGGAGTACTGAACGAGAACTGTTAGTAGTTCGTTTGTAACTTCGGTTTAGCATTGAGTAACGGCGAGGACCGCGGATCGAATCCCGCACGGAACAAGTATTTGTATGGCCTATAAATAATTGTTCCGGGTTTGTTTTTGTTCTATTTATGTTTGTAAACTACCTCCACTATACAGGAGAAAATGCTGGCGTATGTGTTAAAGCTAAAGTTAAAGTTACAGCATATATACGTTCCGCTGCTGGGCACAACCCTCCTCTAATTTCTGAAAGGGTTTTAGGGCAAGGAAATGTCCGCCGCGCTGCCCCAATGCGTGTTCGGTATATTCTTTTGCTTATTTCTCAGACATGCAGGTTTCCTTACGAAATTTTCCTTCATCGCCGAGCACGTGGTAAATCAGCACTTAAAATTTAATTAAAATTTCATTGGTGCCGGCGGGGATAGAACCCGGGTTGCTCGCGTACTGTGAAATTTTACAGCGAACGCTTAGCCCTTGAGTTACTACGACTTCGTCCGCGTGGAATTTATTGCGATTGCATTTTATGGGTTTTAATTGTTTTTAGCGCGGAACCCTAATTCTTTTTCTAAAATAAAAGTATCTCAAGTTACTCCTTATAACATCAGAGCTCTCTGCCAGTGGAAGACCCGTCAAAATCAGCGGAGCGGTTTCGGAGATTAGCCGGAACTAACAGACATACAGACAAAAATGTAAAAATTGTTTTTTTTTTGTTATTAATACCTTATACACTTTCATATGAATTTAGTACAAAGCTGTTATATCGAAATTATGAACAGACACTTCAATTTATTTATCTATATAGATTATAAAAATGAAATAAATATTTATTGCACACCTCGAGCGTAAAGCGGAGAGGTTGGCCTTTACTGCCGACCTGTCAAGGGCACCGACTTGCTCACGATAAATCGTTTATTTTTTAATTTTACCGCACTACTACGTGATAAAAACACAGAACACAACTATATATTCCTCGCGGCTTCGCTCGCGTAAAATTAATTACGCATAGAATTATTCTATGTAATTACGATTGGATTTCATGGGTTTTAATTTCTAGCGTGGAATCCAATTTCGTTGAAAATAAAAGTTACCTATGTTACTCCTTATAACATCTGCTATCTGCCAGTGAAAATCCCGTCAAAATCGGGTTAGCCATTTCGGAGATTAGCCAGGACAATCAGAAAGACAGGCAGATAGACAGACAAAAATTTCAAAAATTGTTTTTGTTATGAGTACCGTATATGAAAGTATCATATGCATTTAGTAAAACGCTGTTATTTTGAAATTACAAACAGACACTTCAATTTTATTTATTTGTATAGATAAGAGTTTAGTTTTTTTTTTCTATTTAATACTAAGGGAATAAATACCATTTCGATATAATCATATATAAAAATTAATGTTTGTTTGTTCAACGTATTGCTTGCACTTGCGCGAAGGTTTTACATCTAGGCATAGTAACTAAGTAGAAAATTCGACCGTAAAAAAAACTATAAATGTAAATATATTTTTATTAGCAAAATATATGTGGTCGTATTACCTCTAACTGACACGAGGACATGAGTATCGGTAAAGCTGGGTCTTTGACAAAATTATTACTCCTCAGCTAATGAAGATGTAATAAAACCATATGTTTGAACATAAGTTATTCAAATTTCATTTAGATGAGTGCTCCTACTCAACTTACGATTTTTAATGAAAAATTTAATATAAAAATTTTAAAATTTTGACACAATATTTAAAATTCTAATTTTTCATACTTAATGAAATATAATTGTCATGATACATATACCTATAAATGCAATTAAATATTTGTAGGCAGGAAACGGTAGAATATTATGGACTTAAACACCTATATTTTGTAACATAATTGTAATATATATTTATTTTTTATTATTTAGTTTTTAGTAGAAGTAAGTAAATAAATAATGCTTTTATTGTAATAATATTCTGAAAAATAAACAAATAAAAAATGCGAGAGTGTCGTGGAACAGTCGGTTCCAACGAAGTTCCTTGCGTCATATTATATTATTATTGATTATTGATAAACATAGGGTGTTATATTATTATTTAACAAATACAAATAAATGAATTACTAGCGTCTTTTAAAATAAAGCGTCATCTATACTAATATAACAAGGCGGAAGAGATTTTTTGTTTTTTTGTTTGTTTAAACGCGCTAATCTCTGGAACTACCTGTCCAATTTGCAAAATTCTTTTTGTATATTATAGTCAGATTTATGTGGAATAGTATAGGCTATCTAGAATTAAGCTATATTAATGAGCTAGCCTTAAATATGGATATTTGTTAAGCAAGTAGAAGAAAAAGCACTCCCGAAATGATTTATCCGCGTACGCTGGTGTTATCGTTATAAAATAAATAAAATAAAATAGCTTTTATTGTTTCCTTACTTTACATTTCGCTTTTACATTTTGTTTAAGTAATACACAATCAGCAGTACATTTCTAATTTAGGTGCTTAAGACTAACATGCACAAAATTAATACTTATATGTTTAGTTTTAGCAAACAGTATAGGTGATGTTGTACAGTTTTAGTAGTTATGGCAAATGTATGATGGAACGTTATCGTGTTATCGTTAGGGATACGTAAATACAATGTTCTAGAAAAATATAGAACTTTACTCCGTCTAAAAAAAAGTCCGCGATACCATATGTCTATTTCTTATACATAAGCCATAATTTGGTATTTTATGACAAAAAATATTGAAAATTTAAAAGTGATTTATAAGCGTTATTATTAGGCATGGCCTATTTATTCTTACGAACGAAAGTTACTTCATCATCAAGAGAATTTTATGAAGATAAATTTTGTTCTGTATACCATGTTATTTGGACGCATAGTTTAAGAGATAATGTAAAATTAAAATAATTCAATACTTGGCTGGGCGCGCCAACGACACTTAAACCCTAGCCGTTATAAAATGCTTGAACTAGGTCATGTCGCACACCTCGGACACATGATGACGCGGGTGAAACCGCGGGGCACAGCTAGTTTGAAATAAAATAATATTTCTTTCATGGCAAGATAAGAAAAAGTGCGAGGGAGATGGATATTATTCCATCTCACTTTACTTTGTCTATACTATGACAGAAGGGGTAGTAACGAAAAAAATCTTACACTTTTTGTCGCCTAGTCGCCAAACCCGTACCGTCCGATAAGGAACTTCGTTCCAATAATAATTATTATGTTTTAATATAATTTTATTAAGATTGTAAAAATAAACAGTTATTTATTTTTACAACCCTAATAGAATTATTAGGTAGGTAGGTAGGTACTGTAATGTTTTGTTTGATCATTGAATACATCAAAGTTAATTTCTGTTACAGAAAATTCATTCCACTCCACATAATCGAAGAAGACAGTTACGAGAAAGACGTCCTATTTTACGTCAACCTAGGCGACCCGGAGCTGATGGGCGGTATGACGTACTAATTTTCTATTCATTGGTCTTTCACTAATAATATTTCTATATTTTGTGCACGCATGAACACTTAACACTAATTTCAATAAATATTTATAACCTGTCTTACCGATTTCACAAATTTCTTACACTGTCTGCTTATGTTTTGCACAAAAGTAATTTCTAGTTATTACTGACATTTTTAGAAGGCATTTACGAATTATTATATTATCTGTAACACTTTTTCTGGTTTATTTTTTTATTATAATCATTTGTCATCATGCAGACGCTGTTGCCCACTTTCTATTTCATTTTCCAATCTGTCGCCTCTTACGTCACTAACAGGATGATAGTATGGGGGTAGTGGGTTTTGTTATACCGCCACTACATCGAGAAATAATCTTTATTTAATTTTATATTAGATGTGGCGGTTCCGTGGTACATTGGTTTAGTTTGAGTTGCTGCGCCGAGGGCTGCGGGTTTGAAACCCGCACGGTACAAGTATTTGTTTGGCCTACTAATATTTATTCCAGTTTTGGATGTTTGTCCTTGTACAATTTATGTTTGTAAACTGCCTCCTTGACAAAATTCTGGTGTGGGGAGTAAAGTTTTTTAAAAAATAAAAAAGAAGTAGATGATTTTTTCATTATTATATGATTTGATAAATACTATTTCAGATTATTTGTTTGCAGTTTTTTTCTGAGTCTGGTGTGCTTTAGAGATTAAATTCAGATCTCTTGTAATTTGTGTTCTATACTTTGTTCTTCTTCTTGGCCTTCATTCTGTAGGTATCTTGTAGCACTGCTATTTCTATTAAGCATGATAAATCTTCTTTCTCGTCATTAATTTTACTATACGTACTATTTCATCTATTCACTTAACTCCATTGTTATTTCATAGTTTATTTTAAGTGTCATATATTTTTAACAGTTTCAAATATTCTACTAGCGAGTTGACCATGACCAAAATGAAGCTCAGTGCCTGTATCTAATATTAATTCATGCTTGATATCAGAAATATGTATTCATAAAAAATATTATAATATGTATAGTTTTTGATATGCTATTGCAATACAAAAGGTAAGTAAAGGTTGTGCTAGATTACAGCCAATTTGTTGTTAAATATAGAATGTGAATTTAAAGAATTTGAGTGGGAAACTTATGCTGATTATATTTTGGTTGCAACAATCTAGTTTTATTGAAATTGGATTAGAGTTAGAATTTTCAGTTTAAGCAAAAGGTAAAATTCAGAATATTAGATTATTAAAAAGTTTGCCAAGTTAAGCCAACAAATTTATGTTACAAAGAAATTTATTCATTAAAATATATTGATTTTACAAAATTTTACTAAAGATGATAATATTTTCCAAGTACTTATCCATGTTGTGTCATCTAACAGGATTGTTTAAAATCTATTACACTAAACCAATTTACGAGATACAATTTCAACCACTAACCCCATACTAACACACAATCTTTATTGTTACTGTTATGTGTAATTATTTTGTTTTGTATTATGTTTTTATCTATTTAAAAATATTTAGTGTCTTTTGACTTGTATGTATTTAGTTTTTATATATTTTTATGTAAATCTAATTTACTTTTTCCTCCTCTCTTGTCTTTTGCTGTCACTTGATGGATGATTCACCTCTATTTCTGTCAAGTAAGAATTAGTCCTTCTTTGAAGTAGAGTCTTAAATAGTTCATTTATTTTGTGTGTATTTTTTTTCTCATTTGTGATTTCATATAATGCGATATTGTTTAATTCACGTCGCTTATCTGCTTGAGTATTAATGTTGTCAGTAATTTTATTAATTTTAAAAGTTTGATGCTTAAACGTTGCTGTGTTAATTATTTCATGTTGTAAATATGAATACAATATACATTCAATGGCTATTCACTATTTTAGTAGTGGTTTTCTCAGTTTACTCACAAGGACAAGAGTTAATTAAATGTAAATCTTTTATGGCGGTCGTAGAAGAAATATAAAGCTAAGTATATTTTTATCACCTGTGTATAAATAAAATACGATGATCCAGTTTTGTATGTGATAGGGCGAAGTTTCAGCTCAAGCCGACCGCCTCAACTTGAGAACGAGCACGCTGGGAGCATTAGAATATATGTCATATTCACATTATTTATTTTACTTCATATGTCACATAGATCGAGGTTTAGAATATCAATCATCACGTTTGATTTTTGCTATATCGTGAGATTTATTGAATTCTTTTATTTTGATAAAACTTAAATAAATAGAGCTGTACCATGTTATAAAGTTGTTTTCTAATTTTTTAATATTTAAATTATTAAAAGTATTATATATGTATTTCTAAATACGGACTAAATGTTCACTAATTAATTCAAAATGTAAAAATAACCTAACGCATTAAAGCGACCACAGCGCCAGTGTCGTATCAACTGAAGTATAATTTTTGACATTGGAATATATTTAGTTTACTTAACTTAGATCTCGCGGGAAATTTAATTTATACAAAAATGGAAAGCAAGAGGTATGTATTTACTCTGATTGAGAAAAAAATGCTTTCTCGGTATTATAAAAAAATATAGGGCGATGGTGGAAAATAAGAAGACCGATGACACGTCTCTACTTATTAAATATGAGGCCTAGAGCGAAATAACTGTATAATACAAATGCTAGTCCATACTTATCTAGCCAAGTAGGTAATTAATTATAGTACTACAAATATCACTTTTGAAATATTATAACATCAGTAATCTGAATTTCCATAGTAGCATGTCCCTAGTCATGACGTTTATTTTATCTTAGAAATCATTACCTATTTTGAAATTTAATACATTATATTAATTTATATAATGAAATAAATTACACTTACCTAAATAAATATACAATATGTACATAACTGAAATGATGCTGTGGCAAAAAACCGTAAAGTTGATAGGACGGCTATTTCTTGGAGAAATTGGAAGACCTCTGTTAGATACTGTATTTCACCAATGAGCCTTTAATAATGTTACAATATATATTACTGATTCTAGACCTATATCGTTTTTAAAACGTTCACTTCATAGCTTAAAATAATCGGAGGCATCCCTTACATAAATATTTGGTAAACGATCGTCATTGTATTCAAATTCGTTGTAATAATTAATTTCTCTTATAGTATTTTTAATCTTCAGATTTAAGGATCTCAAGTACACGCACTTGAGAGTAGAGTTTCGTTTATTAATCAGTGTGTAACTCAGCTGATATCGTGAACCTAAGCTGCATTTTGAGATATGTATATTAATAAGCTCATAACCTCAAGATTTTACTTAAGTGCGTGTACTTGAGCTGAGTAACGTTTATTACGGGCCTTATTTATCTTTGTCAATGTTTCTGCATTTTGATTCTTAATCGAGGATAAATTTACTTCGCATCAGGTAGTCTGTATACATGTTTATGGTCTTTACCTTTTAAAAGTCAGAGTTAAAAGATCTCTATAGCGTTTATTACTCCGTACTTACTTAGATTTTGCGGTAAGTGACTGGTCCGAGATCAGAAACCAGTTATAAGTGCGTTAGGTAAATTAAAGTTTCGGTTCGAATCTAATTGCAGTACACTCGACTAAACATACATTAAATCCTGCTTAAACCTAAGTTCCTCGCAAAATAAAAATAATATCTGGAAATTTATTTCTATTGAATAAAATTATTTTTAGAGAATTTACCGCGTTTAATTTAGTTTCGGGTGCTTTTCAGCAACCCATGGTCACGGGGGGGACTGAAATGTGTGACGTCCCGATGTCATAGTTAGCCCGGCTACCTTCAGTTTTTGAATATTAATTTTTGGTTCGATCTACGCAGGATGAGCTTACAGTATCTTGAAGTCGTGCAGTGGTATGCTTGCTTAATTTGTTAATTATAGGATCCCAAGTAGATGGTAACACTCATCCATTGTTCGTTTGCGAGAATTTGTGGTCTATCAAAACTGTTGTAATGACAGGGACGATCTTGAACATGTTCACAGACTGTAGACTTCCCAGAGCGTTGGTGCCTCACGTCAGCTATATGTTCCTTCACGCTGGTTTTAACAGATCTTTTTTGTCCTATGTAAGAGAGACCACATTCGCAAACAAGCTTGTACACTCCTGCATCTTGTAGAGGGATATTATACTTGACTCCTCTAACATGGGCTAGAACAGCAGGTAAACGCTCGACTGTGGCCGGCTTCACTCGGTCACTGTGACGTAGGCACGGGACCTGAAGCTTGTTGCCTCGCAATACTTGCGCGACGTCCTGAAGTTGCGGCCAGATGTTTCGGTATGACATCAGGATATCAAAAATGTCAATTCTCCGTTCCTCGTATATAGTGTTATCTATGGTCCTCCGTGACCATCTGTATCCGAAACGTCTGGAATCAAAATAAGTAAACTAAACGCGATAAATTCCTTAAAAATAGTTTTATTCAATGTGTAGTGTTCGCGTAAATATAAGAAATCATTAATTTCTCTTTTTTGGGACTTGAATACAATGGATTTAAATAATAATATTCTTTTTGTAACCTTTAACAATCCAAAAGTTCAATTATGGATATAGATATTTAAAAATTGAAAGGATTTACCGTGAATAATGGATGTTTTCCCCTCAATATTCTATTTGGGTCACTCTTAAGAAAAGAATTTATATACTATATATAATTTATATACTTCGCTTAATGGCTATTGTGTATTTTTAATATCTAAAAGTTTTATATATTTCTAAATAAAAACGTTGTTTGTTTGCTTGTTGCGAGTACACGACAGAACTACTGTGAAAGTTACGAAACATGAATATAGTCGTTGAGGTGCCATTGCATATAGAGATCAGTTAGCAGCCTCTTCACGAATCTCACCCAAATAGCATAATTCTCTACGTCCTGGGTTGACAAGGGGAGGATACCATAAAACTTTCCATAACGTCCGCTTTTTCTATTACCATCACCCTTTTATAATTATAATTTTTACACGTGGTAGAGCCATGCTGCAGGTATATTAGTAGTCTAGTTGTAGCACGAATGGGTCGGCTCGACCGGGGAAAGACCACGCTCTCACAGAATACCAGCGTAAAATAGCAGCTTAACACTGCTGTGTCATATGGTGAGTGTAGAAAACCGGAGACCCTTTTTACTGGAAATAAGGCATTCCATCTTAGTTCTCACGGGTGACAAAGCATCAGCATTTTGATTTACAAACGAGGATAGATGTAGATGTCTATGGGCCACAGCAATCACTTACCATCAGGTGGACGATATAAACGAAAGTTATAAACAGTTTCAACTACGACAGTGATTATAGAGATCAAAAATAAAGTGTATAATATATGCCCGTATTTGACCTTATTCTTTCAGTAACTCGGTTGGTACAAATTGTTTACAGTCTCATTTTATTCATTCTTTTATATATTGAGAATTTTCCATTATTGAACATAGTAAAAAAGAATGACGCGCTTTAAGATGATACAGAGAAGATACAAAATCTTTTGATTATTCTTGATTAATAACGACGATAATTCCAAAAGGTTACAAACTATTTGGTCCTCATAACTTTGTTTAGCAAAATTCAAATGATCAATTTTAATTTAGATACACAACGTTCTGCGCGTCACAACGAAGCCGAGCACCTGGTGACTCTGCCTGAAGATGAGGCGGTCGTCGCCATGATGGGTTTACCCCGCGCTGGTGAAATAACAAGAGCTCAACTGAGAGTTAAAGAGAGTAAAGAATTTAAGGTTAGTTCTAGCTTTATCGCTAAAAATTAAACAGGTTCATTACAATATTCTACAATATATTATTAAGTTTAAATAATGACAATTTAATGTGTAAATGTGCATACCTTTTGCAGAATACAGTAGATAAATTAGTACAAAGAGCAAACGCCTCAATCATAATAGGTACTTCATCGTGGAAAGAGCAATTTACAGAAGCGATAACAGCTAGCTCAGGTAATTGACGCTCTATTCGTATATCGGATGAACTTATATATTTATAGCTTGATCTCTACGTTGTGACTATTTTCAGGCTCAGATGATCCCGACGAGCCTACTTCCTGGTCGGATTATGTTCTTCATATCATCACATTGTTTTGGAAAATCATTTTTGCGTTTGTACCTCCTACGGGTAAGTCATTTAGTAACCTTAAACTGAACGCACATTTGTCCGCGCCGTACGCGCCGAATTTCAGAATTCGTTGTATGAAATCATATGAAACCTCGAACATTACACCCGCAATGTACGCGCCGACTTTTATAAAATGCGGTAGGTATCCGAATATTGAAGGACGTATGCTGATGATGTCATATAACGCGGCGCGTTCGACACGTGCTGATACTCAGTGTTGTCTTATGTTGCTAATTTAGTGGATTTTCCACTATAACTAGTGGTTTCGACTTACTTAACAATTTTTGTATTTTTAACTTTTAATTAATTTGTAATTAATTATACATAATTTGAATTTTTTTCGCATCGATTATCAATATGAATACATATACATACATAAACATACATAAACACTCACGCCTGTCACCCAGAGGGGTAGGCAGAGATTATGGACTTCCATTTGGCACGATCCTGACACACCTCTCTCGCTTCCTCCACATCCATATACCTACGCATACACGCTCGTCGGTTAAAGGTACTCTTGATTTGGCCCATTTTTAATATATCGCCAATTTGGTCGATAAATTTTCGCCTAGGGCGACCCTTCCCGACTATGCCCGGCATAGTCGGGAAGGAATATGAATACTTAGTGATAAATTATTTAAATACTGAACTAAACAAACCCAATTATACCTGATTACTTAATTATCAATAAAAATACTTATCTCAAACATACAACAAATCTTTTCTCTGGTTCAATTGGCCTTCTAAATCTTGAGTTTTCCTTAGAAAGATATGGTTTTAGTACATGTAGCAATTTTTGAAATTTCTTGTATGTCAAATGCAAATATCTAAAAAATCGTTAATCATCATCTAATAAGTCTTTAAATAAAGTATATCCTCTACATATTCTCCAAACAATTGCCTTTTTGAATTAATATTATGAATCCAGAATCATCTTTTTCTTCGAATTTTATTTTCTTCTTCATCTGCCAATAAGCAGGCTATTACTATATTTCTTTTCATAGTGGTTTCGAGCGATCAATTTCACTGTACCGTTTCACACCAGTGGTTGAAAAAAACTACAAAAGCTGTTGGTAATACAAAAGGTTTGCGTACGGTGCGGACGATGCTTACGTGCAAATGTGCGAGGCCATCAGTAAAACTCGGCGCGTACGGCGCGTACGATGCGTACGGTGCGGACAAATGTGCGTTCAGCTTTAGAGTTACCACAATTAGTTTGTCTGCAAAATTGTTATGCGAATGAAATGTAGGTGGTATTATGTTTGTGTATATCTGTCAAAAATGGAACACAAAATATTTTGATAGGTGTCATATAATTTTTACGTAACACAGTGCAAGAATTTTTTCTGATCTGACCGCATAAAATAATAGCAAAATATTCGCATAATTATGAATTGTGTACCTATTTGTGTACAGACATCCCCCATGATTCAACAAGACTATTTTTAGTTAAACTTGAAGGCTAATCGAAAATTTCGTTGGAATAATAAGACACTTTCCCAGTCACTTGAAGTTTTTATTTGTACGAAGATAATTTATGAATAAACAAAGAAGTTCAGTTTTGTGAGAGAACGTCATATTAGTTTACCCTACTTCTAACATTCATTTACTTGTGATATAAGAATATTTTCAGATCATATATAAAGAGTTTTTATTCTTGTTACGTAGATATTGGCGGAGGTTACGTATGTTTTGTGGTGTCCATCATTTGCATTGGACTTGTGACGGCGGTAATCGGTGACGTGGCGTCGCACTTCGGTTGTACTTTGGGTATCAAGGACTCAGTTACTGCTATAGTTTTTGTTGCTCTGGGAACTAGTATACCAGGTAAATTTAAACAAATATAATATAGTTTACGACCACTGTTTGTTAAAATATAGGAGAATATTATTACGGAAAATGTTCACGAGTAAGGGAATTGTTGTTATCAGGTCATTGTGCTGATTTTTCAGCTTGACTAATTTTTATATCACATATTATATCATCATCATCATTTTCATCACAGCCTATCAAAATTCTATTGCTGATAATAGACCTGCCCCATAATTTACCTAATTGGGTAATATTCATCTACTGTCGAAAAGCTATAAAGTGGTATTTACCTTCTCGTTTCTTAAGCTGCCTAAAGGTAAGTGTTATGAATATCCTTTTATGTCTTTCATCACATGATAATATACATCCTATATTTATGAAAATAGTAAAAACTGTAAAGTTTTTTAATGATATATATCTATATATCAATATCCAAAATAAAGTATATATTGCGATTAGAAAATTTACTATTTCTATTAAATTTAATAACAAAATTTAGTCAAAAAATGCGGATTTAAAGTAGCTGCCTATATTATGATTACAAAAGTTGGGTATCAAGTTGAGGACTGGAGGGCTAGCGTGCTATGGGAATATTATGCGAAGGGAAGTAAACCCTGTAAAAAGAACAATGTTGGTTATGAAAGTGGATGAATATAAAGTATAGAGTAGCCAAGGAAAATATGGATGAACTTAGTAGGGATACATTAGAAAGGATTGAGTTAAGAGATGACGGCTAGGACGACGGAAGACATGCTATGCCGACCCCAAATAACTTAGGATAAAGTCAGGAAGAAAAAGAGGGCTTACGTTATTATGAAAAAATTGCAGTTACTTTTTATATATAATATTTAAAGAATCATCAATAATAAAGAATTTGTTATTAGATACATTCGCCAGTAAAGTAGCAGCCATCCAAGACAAAACAGCAGACGCATCTGTGGGCAACGTGACGGGTTCCAACGCTGTTAATGTGTTCCTCGGTATTGGAGTCGCGTGGACTGTCGCCGCCATCGTCCATTGGACACGCAACGAGAAATTCCACGTCGAACCCGGAAAGTAAGAACATCTTTATTTATATTTGTGTTTGATTCATTGTCCACTCTGAAAGGTTCTAATGCTTTTACCCTATTACCTCTAAAGTTGGCTAATGTTTTTCCAGTGTCTATTTCTTTGATATGTATGGTAGCCTTAATGGCTTGATGGATCTTTACATATAGTGTCGTTAGGATCGTCTTCGTTTTAGAAGTGACATAGGGTACAAAACTTTTCTCTTTTCAGTAAACTATTTTAGGCAGTCGGATACTTTTATTACTATTTAAACTTTTGAACTTGTTGTGGAAATAATAAATTTTGAATAAAATTTTAATTTATTAAGTTCAATAAATAGAATAATTATAATATGCTTTTGAGTATAATTCAATTATTTGTGGTGCGGAAAGTGCGTGGGAAAGGGAGATGTGAGATTTAGAATTATGCTTCTCGTTTGAAGAGTAGAATGATGTTCCTCCATAGGCCAGCAGAACTTTATCTTGATATCTCGATTATGGCGGGTTTATATTGTTTCACAAATAACACACACTTTAACCCTTTCGCTGTCCCGTGCACTATATATAGGTCATTGCTATTGTCTTACTATTGTGTCTACAAACTGGACAGTGAAAGTGTTAATATAACATTGTTTAATCTTTGAGATCAAAGGGAGATCATTATTTTTAAATATTTATATGGCCATAGTTAAAAAATTGCTTGTGTTAAGAGTGGTTCACCACAGTAGTTAAATGGCGGATTCGAACCCACAACTATCTGAGTTTGCGATACGAAACCTACCATTAGTTCATTCCATTCATAAAATAAGGTTAAAATGAAGTGAGCTCAAAGTAAGAGGAAGACGCCTTTGCTATAAAAAAAAAGACTGTGGAAGTACTTGACTGTATGTAAGTGTGCACTGGGGTATCATATACATGAATATTATTATTTATGTAGAATATTACAGAAATTAAGAACATTAAGTCATAAGATCGTCACTTAAACTACAAAATACATTATTCTTTACAATCAATGAAGACATACATTCTGCAGGCAATATTTAGTTCTATTGTTTATACTCCCATGTATTTTGGTAACAATGGAATAACCACAAATATTTTTGTCAACAGTCTTGCGTTTAGTGTAACGATGTTCTGCTCTGAAGCTGCACTTGTAGTTATAGTGCTGATTTTGAGACGGAGAAAATCTATCGGAGGAGAGCTCGGTGGACCTCGCTGCATGAAGGTCACCACTTCTATCTTCTTCTTCTCTTTATGGTTGATCTACCTCGTCTTATCCGGATTAGAAGCTTATGATGTTATTCAAGGTTTTTAAATCTGGACTAAATAAAACTGGTCGGTGTTTTACAGAAAGCAGACGAGTAATCTTCGATTGTGATCGTGAAAGACAAACTATTATAATATGATGAATGTAACCAGGCGTTTTGTTAAAGATAATACTTTTCATGTTTGATGTTAATTATATTAGAGAGGATTCTTAAAGCCTATCGAGTAAACTGTAAGGTGTTGTGCTCAAATGTACAGGTTTAGAACTCTTTAAATTATCTTCTTACTCTAGTCGTCTTCACTGTCTCATATTTCCATTATCGGTAATTGTAGCCTTAAAGGCTGTGGTTTTAAAGGTCTAATTAGATTAGTTAAGGAAGTTATAAATAATATAAATACATAATCTAGAAATAATAGAAGTTGTTATATTGAGATATATTTGTTTATGGTTGATTTGTGAAATTTTGTAATTTTTGTAGATAACGCCAAGATTTCGCAAACGCTTTAACAGGAACTGTAGATTAGGTTGCTAGATGGGTTGGAGAAACCTGTAGATGTAAGATCACATTTGTGAAATTTTGTGTGTCAATCGAATGTGTTTTAATTTAATTGTTAGTAAACATGTAATAAAATTATTTATTTACTTTTTAATACTATTTAAAACAATTTTCTCTTGTTCTTTTGTTATTTGTCAAAAACACTTGTAATTTTTTGCAATTTATTAAAGCTGTTAATTCATCTTCATTTAAAAAAAATCTATAAAAAACATGACATTGCTTAATTAATTTAAATTTAAAAGTAATAATTTAAAAGTAAAAAATTAATTTTTTTTAAAAGTAATAATTTAAAAGTAATAAATTAAATTTAAAAGTACTAATACTTTTAAATTAAAATTAATTTCGTTTTTATAATTTAAATATTATTATTTTATGCAACAATTATTAGTAATAATTTTTACTTTAGAAGTTATCACAAAAATTTCCACGTAGTTTCAAAAGCTTTACAATAAAAATTTTGCTGATGGCTTCAGGTATGTTGACTATAGTTTTTTTTAACTACCTGTTATAATAAGTGGTGATGTAGGCGAAGATAGAGTAAGGCGAGAATATATCTCTATATAGTGTCAAAGTTAAAAGCTTAGCCTCTACTAAGCTTTTAACTTTGACTTAGTACTAAAACATTTTATTTCAAAATTTGATTTCTATGAGTTACTTTTAACGTAAAAATTGTAGCCCATATCACTGGATATGTATGAGGGTATCAAGAAATGGTTGAGTGTGAGGTTATATATTTATAATAGCAGTGATAGCTCCGGGGCTGAGCAACCCTCGTAAATTTGATAGTACACGAGTAATCCATTTTCGATTCCCGCTAAATTGTAAGTTGCAATTTCGAATACTGATTGAGGTGTTCAGGGGTGATTGAAAATATCGGATGGAACTTGCTTGTCTGAGTATCAACAATATTTTGCAATCAAAGGCAGTGTATCGGGCTCTCTTCTGTACCAAAATACCCTCAGAAATATCTGTTCCAAATCCTCTCAGACGAGGCATATGCACAGCAGTAGTTATTATGTAGGCATTTTTGTAGGATGAAGGTGATAAACAAGCACACAATCCATTTGATGGTAAGTGGATGCTGTGGCACATAGACATCTAAATCCATCCTCGATTAAGAATCAAAATGCAGATGCGTTGTGACCCCTAAGGACTAAGGTGGGATGCCTCGTTTCCAGTAAAACGGCTATCTAATACTTTTTTATAATTTCAGTTACCAACATTCTACGACGTAGGTTCGAAGCTCAACATTGAGCAAAATATTTGACATTTTAACAAACGAAATTTTGTTTTAAGTCGGAGGAATATTCCTTTGATATTATACAAATTATTTTGATCAATCATGAGTTGGCTTTGGCTGTAATATTGTGTCCCCGCGTTTTTGACGGTACATCAAAATCAATACCTAATCTTGTTGCAGATGCGTTATATATACAAATTTATTGTAAGTTTAACTAATGTGCCGAAAATATAACAAATATTACATACACAAGATTAAATTATTTCCATTCTCAAGTAACTTTCTAGTCCGGATGCAGCTGTAAGTATGGTACCCAACCCAATATTATCTCAAGAGAAAAATAAGCTCGCGAAAAGGCATTGTGTGAAGGATCTTTTGGTTTCTGGGTCAAACGTTTAGTAGAAAATAGGGCAAGTATATTTGTATTTCTTAATGTTGTTTGTATATTATAACATTTGTTCAGTTGGTAGAATTGTTAATAGGACACGTGCTTCGCATCATTTCTAAATATTTTTATGTATTCAGAAATATATAACCAATTTAACAATTGTTTATTTTTGTATAAATATACATAGACAATTTTGGATGAATGGTAATCGATTCAGATAGTCGATTATATATGAGTTTATTTACAAGTACTTATATTGTTTTATTTATATATGATTGTTTATATATTAGAGTTTTATATAACATATAGGAAATAATAATTAAGTATGATGAAACGAGATAAAAATATTAATGCAATGAAATAAATTCAATGATATGTAAATGTTTGTACCATTGTGTTTCACTATATACACGTAATTGTACTGGTCGTCCTATCTAACTTCATTCGAAAAGTTCCTCTAGCTTTGCCATCATTTAGCTTTAAATTTTAAACTCCTATCGTCCGAAATTTAACATCTCTTAAACTTGAAGCTTCTGTGAACTATTTCTATAATCTCATATACATAGCTTCATCTATTGTCCCATATCATTCTATTTAAGGCACTTGTAGTTGAACTGTTTGTTAATTATCAACGATTTCTTTTTAAAAACTATTATAGCATAATATGTTCATTTTTAAAATGTTGAAAGGTCCACGTTTTAATTAAATTGTTGTTTATGTAATGTTGAATCATGTGTGTTAAATGTCAATGTGAAATGATTTCTGACAGTGGTGTACTTAGTACAAAATTAAATGATATTTATATTCCATGTGTTTGTTTTAATACAAGTATACGAGTAGTAAGTTTTTTTTTTATAGGAGAGTGGGCAAACGAGCCTGCGGCTCACCTGATGATAAGTGACTACCGCCACCCATGCACAACTGCAACACCAGGGGAACCAGGGGAATTGCAGATGCGTTGCCGGCCTTTTAAAGAGGAGTAGGCTCGTTTCTTGAAGGTCCCTAAGTCGTATCGGTCCGAAAAATCACTGATGGTAATCGATTTCACAAGGAAGTTGTGCGAGGAAGAAAACATCTTCTAAATCGCACAGTGGTGGACCGCCAATAATCCAGATGGTATGGATGGTATCGAGAAATCTGCCACGATGTGCGTTCGTGAAATTTGGCGGTTGGGATTAATTCGAACAATTCCTCAGAGCACTCCCCGTGGTAAATGCGAAAGAAAATGCAAAGGGATGCAACATCTCTTCGCAGCGCCAATGAATCGAGCTGATCGGAAAGGACTCGGTCGTCGACGATTCGAGCCGCTCTGCGCTGGATGCGGTCAAGTGGAAGGAGCTGGCACTGGGGTGCCCCGACCCAGAGCTGAGAACAGTATTCCATGTGAAGCCAAACCTGCCGGCATGAAATACTGTCCCGCTCTGCTGAGCACGCCAAGCTTTTTAGAGGTCAATTTGGTCTTCTCTTTCACTCGGTCACTCGATATGTCAACGCCGACGATTCCGATACTGGCTGAGGCAACAAGGGGAGTGCCTTGAAACTGAGGAGATAAAAAAGGGGTTCTTTTTAGCGGTAAATGCGCAAACTTGTGTCTTCTGCGGATTAAACTGGACTATATTAGGCGCCCCCAATCCGAGACTTCGTTCAGTAAAGACTCGACTTCAGACATAAGTTTGTTCCGGTACGCGGCGACGTTTTCCTTTTAATGTTACCAGTTTGGAACATATGTTTGATATGCAGAAGAAACAGCGTTGGTGATAGCACACAACCTTGTGGTACACCAGCGTTAATAGGTTTGTAGTCGGAGCATGCACCATCTACAACGATCTTGATGTTCCGATCGGGAAGCCCATAGGAAGGGAGCTACGAAAGAAGCGCTTTGTGCCAAACCCGATCGAAGGCCTTCGCAATGTCCAAACAAACGGCCAACGCCTCCCCCTTAGACTCTACTGCCTCCGCACATCTATGGCCAAAAGATCACCAGCTGATCGACCCCGACGAAAACCGTATTGGCAGTCACTAATCAGTTGGTGATCCTCAAGGTACCGCATGAGCTGGCAGTTTATAATAGATTCTATTATTTTGGAGAACAAGGGGGTGATGGCGATAGGCCTGTAGTGGGACGGGTCTGAGCGGTTGCCTTTTTTAGGGATCGGGTGGACAAAAGCTGTCTTCCATGATTTGGAGACTACGCCTAGGGAGTAGGAGTACCGGAAAAGACGTCTTAGAACCGGTGCCAACTCCGGAGCACACACTCTCAGCACATTTGGGGGATTCCGTCAGGCCCACTCGACTTGTGGATGTCCAGGGAGAGGAGTGCTTTGCGAACCGAGCGCTGTGAGAACCACATATCTGGCATGGAGCACTTACACCGCGGGATGGTCGGCGGTGTGTTCCCCCCGTCATCAAGACTTTGCCTTGGCAATAACGGTTTGAAGGACCTGTAGGCGAACTTATACTTCTTTTTAAGCATGCTGGTGTTTACATCCCGAGTTGCCGAAGCCGCATCCCAGGCTTGATAACACTCCTGTTTACTGCGTAATGCAGTCTTACAGGAGCGACCAAACCAAGGCTGAGATCTGCTTCCGATGGGTACCACAGATGATGGCATAAATAGTTACATTCCCTGTAGCATCACATCAGTGACAGAGTCAGTAACAACGTTGGGATCATCCAGCGAGAAGCAAATCCGCCTCCATGGGTAGCATGCAAAGAAAGACCGCATTCCATCCCAATCCGCCGACCTGTAATGCCAAACACGGCAGCAACCTGCAGAACATAACCGCGAGGGAAGCGTGAGTGGCACCATAATCCAGATCAGACAATGGTCCGAAGAGCCGAGAGGGGCATCGACGGAAACCTGA